AGTGACTCAGTTAAACCTCAAACACCATCTGTTTATTGACCTGGCAGCTGAAAGAGAATTAGCATGCCACAGGCCAATGGAGAATGGGAGTAGCTATCCCGCTAATGATGATAGAATTGAATAAAAGCCAACCCCAGTCTTGTATGAATTTTAAAAACTTGTGAATTAAATATAATCTCCACAAATGCCATCCAAATTTGTGCAAGATTTGTTGAGTATATCTTTAGGTTTATCAAAATACTGTTTTGTATTGCTACTAGGGTTCTTTTTTCTGGTGCCAGGTCTTTACTCTGAGCAAAACACCTAGTCCTTTTTTCCATTGTTTACTTTAAGATTAAATGTCAGTAAACACTTAGTTGCTGAGGCTGGGCTCAAACTTTTGAACTTCCTGCCTCAACCTTTCAGAATACTGGTATTATAGCTACTTGCCACCACACCCACCTGAGGCTTCTCAATCTTTATTAAAGAATTAATTAGTTAATTAATTCCATTTATGTTTTTTGATTCTGAAAAGCCTATTTTAATTTTCACTTTGAAACAATCCCTAAGTTTCTATGTTGCCCATGCTAGCCTTGAATTTGTAATCTTTCTGCTTCAGCCTCCCATAAGTCTGGGGTACGGATGTACACCATCAAGCTGGATATATCAACCTTGATATATTTTTACTATCATAATATTTTGAACCAGGTATTTTTTATGATCCTAAGTTCTTCTGTTTTCTATGCATGTCTCTTTTCATAAAGATAGTAGAGGTCACATTCTGAATTGTTCATCCTTAGACGCATCTGTCTAAAATTCCTCTCCAGAAAACTGAGATTATGTCACTATTTTCCTATTCAACCCAAGGTAGCCATAGGAAATTTCTGAAACTCATTCTGCCCCAATAAAGTCACCCAGCAGAGACCACGTGGTGGTGTCAGAGAAGATATAAGCTGCAATGACATGTTGAAGCACACACACGCACACACACACACACACATATGAGAGAGATATTCATATATATGAATGACTATATGCACAGCTTTGATGAATACTCATTGTACATGTAGACTTCTATCTTTTTACCCCAGCATATCCATTCTGTCTTCTGCATCAGATCTCAGGAAATGTCCTCTGTAAAAACAGACTGCACTAGGAGATTTCTTTTCCCAGTTGGCTTTCTTATTCCATGCCAAGTGAAAAATGTTTTAGAGTTTCAAATTTGATAAATATGAGAGGAGAACAAAATGCCAGGTGGACTTCAGCTCAAATAAGACAGGTTTCCTATTCTGGAAATTTAGATCACATAATTCTCATTTCTGCCATTGTTTTCTGCTGCCACTAATATACAGCTGTGCAGTTTTTTCTTTTTTAAACTTTTTGAAATATTTGTAGATTCAAATGCAATTTTAAAGGTGACAAAGAAAGATCTCATATACCCATCAAATAATTTCTCCTACAGATCACATCTTGCATGTCATAGCACATTATCACAAGAGGAAATCAATATTGATACAGCCCATCCATCTTAAATTCCAGTAGATTTATTGTGTGTTTACATGCAGCTCTTTTACTCATTCATATGTTTGTGCACGTGTGCCTATATGTAATCTACACCATGCCAAGATACTTCCTTCCTTTTCTTACACACACCAGCCCACTATACAAATATCTTATTTTATGTTTCTTAATTAACAAACATTTTAAATATTTATTGTGCAAGCATCTTATTTTGAAAAATGTGTGCATTGTTGAATGACTCTAATTAAGTAGTACATAGATTACCTCATGTACTTATTTTTTGTGATGAGAACAATTAAAGTCAACTGTTAGTAATTTTTGAAATACAACACATTATTATTAATGATAGTCACCATGTTGTGCAATAGATATTTTCAAATTGTTCTCTTTATCTTACTGAAATTTTGTATTTCTTTAAGCAATTTAATGGGGTTCATGTTGTTTTAGTGGCATAATTTCATCTGTGCATAAAACACATCTTGATCACATATTTCATCCCATTAACCTCCCTCTTTTCTCCACCTACTTATTTCCTTCTTCTTATATAATAACAACATCTCTTCAATATTTGTGGCTTTTATTAGCTTCCACAAATTAGGGAAATGCATGTATATTCCCACTTACTGACCCTGTTCACAGAATATAGAAGAGAGTTCTCTTACTGGAGGGAGGGAATATTTTGAATGATTTACAGAGCAGTGCTCAGAAATATAAGACACAGGGTCAGGAGAAGACACAGAAAAAAGGTGACCTCCAAGCCTAGAGGAGAGCCAGAGTCAGAGAACAATCACTTCTAGAGCTTGGTACAGGAATTCCTAGTCTCCAGAACTAGAAGAAAAGAAACGTTTCTTGTTTAAGACAGGGAGCACAGTAAAGTTTGGTTCACTTGGGAGTCCAAGGAGACACTTACATCAGCTTGACTCTCCCTTACCAGAATGCTTCAGCAGATCCTTCATGGGCTTGAGGACAAAGCTTTTCTCCTCTTTCTCCTACTATCATGGCTGCAGAGAAAGAAGGACTCATTCTCACTATGTTTGCATTTACTACCATTGTTTCCTTGGAAACTTGGTTGTTGCCCCCATTTTCCTTGCAGCTTAAAACCATGTACACTTGAATGAGAATTTCTTGTCATTTATATTCACACAGTTTCCAACTTAGATGCCAGTAGGAACCTTGTGCTGTCCTCCATCTCTAGCCTTGTTCCTTATGCTCAGGAGACAGGGTCACCATCCAATCTAGGATTCATCCAAGTGTCAACAGCATCACAGGCTGGCACCAGAACTCAGGCACAGTTCCTAGGGTCCTGCTCACTCATGCTCCTTCTTGGACATGATGCTTTCATGGATAACAGACTAATGTCATTCTGACTATCAGTAATGGAATTGCCATTGAGACATGTGCTTCTCTTGCTGTCACCATGGGGTGATAATCTCCCCCCGGTTGCTGCTTCAACCTGTGGCAGCTGCTAAAGGTCTCAGGCTAGGCTGGAAGACAGTTGTGAAATCAAATCTTATTATCTGTTCTTCCTCCACACTCTTTACCCCTCAGCACCTCTAGTGTATCTGTTCTGTAGCATCTATTGGATCATACAGTAGATGATTTTAAAATCTCTGCTATGAAATCAGTCATCAGTTTCTTCAGGCTCAGTAGGTGGCAGTTTATGCCTCCAGAGTTGTTTCTAACACACATCATCATTAACCCAGAGTTTTGATTTTGTTCTATGAATACTTGTAGAGGGGTCACTGGTAGTAAGTTGTGGTGTTTTGGAGACTAGAAAGAAACACGACAAATTTTCAGAAATGTGTACATGTGGCAAAGTTGACTCACCATGAACAGACTCCCAATAGCCATGTGAACCAGGAAATCTGGACAGAGAGACTCCAATGTCACTCTTGGTCAGAAGAGAGGCTGCCAGCAGGCTGTGGAGTGCTTTGTGCTTTGACCATCCAACTACCAAGCAGAAGATGCTGCCCTGTTTGAGGGGAGACAGTAGGAGAGAAGTTGCTGACACTGAGCAAGTTTTAGACATAAAGTTTGTCTCCTCTTCATCCACAGAGCATCTGTCCATCTCCCTATCATTTACTGCTATTTGTTCACAGATTCCCCTGGGCCAGTAAGTGCCATCCATCTACTTGGGACAGGCTACAACTTGGCTCTATGAGGACAGAGGTGGGTCCTGAGTTTAGAAAAGGGATCCCAGTGTGGTGCAACAAGTCTGAGTTTTAAAGCTTCAGGTTCAATTTATCAAAGCTTTAAAGCATACATTATACTGTTAATTCAAATTACACTTTGTATTCACCTTTAACTGGCTTTATGAAGACATGATGAGTACCAAAGTTGATGAGCATTAAACAGATTGTTTGAGCTGCAAAGAGTAGTAACAAATGCTAGGACAAAATTTTCACATCAAACTTTGTGGAATACCAAATGCTATGTATGCAGTCAAGTACCAGCGTATGACTATATATCTATTAACACATAAATATATATGTATATATTATTTATTCCTAATATTGATGCACTATCCATAGTTATATCAATAAAACATAAAATATTATATGCATTATTTAACATGCAGCTCATAGAACTATGAAAATGATTTATCTTAAATGTTCTTAGTTTCTTTCTAAGACAAGGGTCTGGGTGGGACATCTGCTAACACTCCTCTTTGGCGCTAACAAGATCTTGGCTTCTGAGAATCAATGAAAAGATTACTGAGAACACCTGGACCCACAGAAGCAGGACCAGCCCTGTGGTTTAGTCCCTCAGACTCTCACTGTGGCTCCAGACTCTTGGCTTGCTTCAGTGCCCATGTGTGGTAAGCAATTTACTTCCCCGGATGCCCTGCCAAGTAGCCCCATGGGCAGAGCGTCTGGTCCCCCCAGGTCCTCAGGTGCAGTACTCAAGAGTTTTTCTACTCTCAGCCGGGGTTTGAGGCCAATGTTCCAAACTCTGGACAGTTATTATAGTACCTGAAAGTCTGTACTGACACTAAATTCACAGGCTATATTTTCACACTTTCCAAAGCCACAAATGTCACCCAGGTAATTAGAAATTTTACCTCATTGTAATCTTCACAAACTGGGATTTTTCCAGCTCTACCAGATAAAGATGCTCTGATATCTTCCTTCATCATACACCTTCACTTAAAAATATTAATTAATTCAAAAATTGGTAAAACTCTTGAGACCTACACAGCAGTCAGTCACCTTTTATGGTTTATTTACCACAAGCTTTATCCTGCTGTGAATGGTAAGGACAGGTGAGCCTCTTCCACTCCAGGACAAGATCAGGGATTATGGGTGCATTTAGTTGGCTCAGAAATAATCTGAGAGAGTAGAGTAGTGGATGGACACAGTGTCTGAGATTTTGTTTCCTTGTTAAGAGAGTGAAAATGAACAGTTCACCTTATGCAACCCCTACTGATTTGCATGTGCCCAGAGCACAGCCCACTCCCCAGAGGACTTCTTCATAGGCTGCTCACAGCCTGTGCAGGAGTCAGAGCAAGTCAGGACACAGCATGGACATGAGGGCCCCTGCTCAGCTCCTGGGGCTCCTGCTGCTCTTGTTCCCAGGTAAGGAAGGAAAAAACTGGAATTATGCTCAGTCCAGTATGGTCAGTGTTGCCTAGGTCTTTAGGAAAGTGCTCTTGTAACATGAGTAATCATGTGGATATTTGTATTTGTGTTCCCAATATCAGGTGCCAGATGTGACATCCAGGTGACCCAGTCTCCATCCTCCCTGTCTGCTTCTCAAGGAAACAGAGTCACCATCACTTGCAAGGCCAGTCAAAGCATTAGTGATTACTTAAACTGGTATCAGCAGAAACCAGGGAAAGCTCCTAAACTCCTCATCTATAGGGCATCCAGCTTAGAAAGTGGGGTTCCATCGAGGTTCAGTGGCAGTGGATCTGGGACAGATTTCACTCTCACCATCGCCAGCTTGGAGCCTGAAGATGTTGGAATTTATCACTGTCAGCAGTATGATAGTTACCCTCCCACAGTGATACAAGCCATGACATAAACCCCCTAGGAAAGCAGAAGTGTGAGCCTGGGCTGCCCCAGCTGCTCCTCTTGAGGTCACAGTCAGCTGAGAGTGTTTCTCAGATGCAGCAAGCCTACTCCTGGTGGGTTGTGATCATGACATCAGTTGAGATTCATACAGCATAATAGAAGTCACTATAGAAATTCTGCACAGGAACTGTCTCAAATGCAGGGAATAGTACCTAAGGTACTTTATGCATCAAATTTTTGATATATTTTATTGACAATAATTATACATATTCATGGGATTCACTGGGGTTTCCCACACATGATCACAGCATACATTGATCACACACATCTACCTTTCTTCTACGTTGTACTCTTCTCCCTTACACCTAACATCATTCCTTATCTCTATTAATCACTATTATTTCTAATTAGCTTTATTGTTACAGTTTCTATATGTGTCAGGACAATTGATACTTGTATTTTAGAGGGTTCATTTCATTTTTGTAGTGTCCTACAGTTCCATTCATTTCTCTCCAAATGACAAGAATTTATTCTGTTTTATAGCTGAGTAGTACTCAGTTTTGAATGTGTACCATGTTTTCTTTATCCACTAATCTATTGCGGGGTGTAGGCCCACTCCAGATCTTAGATGTTGCAAATACCATGAGAATAGATACAGACATTCAAGAATGTGCATTGTATGCTGGTATATTAGCAAGTTATTCTTTCTGTTATTTACTTTCAGAGCCTAAGAATTTCTGTACAGATTTTATTGGCAAATAAAAATATTTTGCTCCTTCATTTCTAGACTTCATGCCTTTCTTTTTTTATTATTTTGTTTTACCTTATTACATGTTTTAGGAAATTCAGTATAATTTTGGATAGATATTGTAATAGTGGACATTTTAGTTTTTTTCTAGAAATTGAGAGGTAAAATAAATATGATATTTTCTATAGAGATTTATGAACACTTTATAAGCATAGGTATTTTTTCATCATTTATGGATTGCTGAAAGTTTGATCATAATTTCTGACTATTTCAGAAATGAATTTTCAGCTACAACTGAGATAATTAGTTTTTCTTCTTAATTTAGTCAGAATGATGGATCATATGAATCACTTATTACTGTAGTTTAGATCTAAAATGTTCCCCAACAGACTTACTATTCAGAAGGTGGGGCGTTTGTAAGGTGATTGGGTCAAGGGGGGTGCAGATATGTTGTGGGAGGTAGGGCCTGGATTGAGGAAGAGGGTCACTGGGTCATAACCTGGAAGGGTGAATTCTTGTCCTTGAATCCCTTCTCACTCCACTTTCTGGGTACCATGAGGTGGGCAGTTTTCTTCTACCATGCCCTTCCTCCATCATATTTTTCCCTTGGAGAAAGTAACTATGGACTGAATCCCTCAAGACTAAAATCCAAATTAAATTTCACCTTCTTTAAGTTTCGCGTGTTGAGTATTGTGCCCAGGGATGGGACAATGATTACTATAGTTATCTAAGATTAAATAATCTTGAACTTATGGAACATATTTAATTTGATCATGATGATTACTTGAGAGAAGGGAGAAAAACAGAGAGAGGGAGAGAAATGAAAAATTTGTTATTGATTCTTCGATATTTCCGCCCTATCTAATATGCTGTCAACTGACTCCATGTCAGGAAACACATATTGAATAAAACAAATACAATTTCCCTTCAGCTGTGTCATAGATCCTTATGTTCTCATCTGCACATCTTTAGTGTGAAGCTAACTATGGAGAAGAGTAGAGCTTGGAAATCTAGCATCTTTGCTTCCTCTGTCCTCCCTACCAGCAACATCTGCAGAAACACAGACTAGCAGTCACAACTGCTTCTAATGCTTTTGTCTGTGAGTCTTCCCCAACTTAATCTGTGACACTTAGAAACTGACATGATAAAAATAATGCTGAAGCTTTCTTTTCATAATAAGAAAAGTGATCACAACTCACAATAATGGAGATGTTTCTTAAACAAGAGATTCTCAAATTCTGGGAATGCCAGTACACAGGTACCCACTCACCTGTACATATGTCCACAAAGCAACACTGCTAGTCCATTTGTCCATCCTATGATTTTCTATTCTATTCTATTTTACTCTATTTTCTACTATTTTAGTTTATTTCATTTAAGTATGTTATTGTGACTGAGCAAATTAATTTGTTGACTAATCAATAGTAAAAACCCATGTTGCAAAACACTGGCCTACAGAAGATGCCTCTCACAAAGATATTCTGCGAAAGTAATACCTTATCCTGAAAAATTTTTTCTGAAGCAGATTCCAGAATGATAGTTGTAAATTTTCTGTATTTCAAGGCATGGCATGAGATTGGGGAAAAAGCAAAAAGGTGAAAACAAAAGCCTGAGTCAGGAGTATACAAGAAAAGACAATGCCGTGATACTCTTGCCTTTGTTAGGACAACATTTCAGTAATGGCTAGAGGAATGAATACATCAGAAATGTCAGTGTGGGCACGATTGATGGTTCGAGGGATATGGTATAGACTGAGCCAAAACACAAGTGCGCTTGTGCACATGGGAGTGACAAATCAACCCTGGGACCTGCTGTTGCTGTTGATGAAAGATGCTTGAAACACACAGAAACATGCTCTGAAGTTAGTATCACTGCTTACACAGTTTCACATCTGCGGAAACTAAAGCAAAGAAAGCTTAGGGGATTTTACTGATGTGATGCAACCAGTGGGTAGGAGCTAGCTTCTCCAAACCAAAAACTTTCACGAGATGGCCTACGTGATTGTAGGTGGACTATGGATAGGAATGATGATTATTCCCTGATTATGGAGAGATTTTCCAAGAACAAAGAGGAGTGTTAATGAATCTATGTCACTGGGATGCTGAAAAAAGAAAGAAAAGAAAAAGTATAACTTCTTTGTGGAAATCAGCAGATTTAGAGGAAATGAGATTCAGAATCAGAAAATGCAACTCAAAGAGCTGATCAGACTGGAGAGAAAATGTGTTTTGAGCCAAGCCCTGCAATGCAAAGTGCCTTCAGTGTTTAGAGCTAAATGTTGTGAGCTGTGTAGGACATGAACAGAAAAAGCCCACAGGTTTATTGGCCTGGTTGAGACAGGAAACAGACCAGCCAGAAAGTTAAGGATTTCTAGAAATGACAGAGCCACAGAATTCCTGAGATCACTTTTCCAGGTTTGTTCCACATATGAGAGACAGAGAGAGACCCTAAAGGGCCCACAAGCAGAGGGACAGGAGGTAACAACCATTGTACTTTGCATGTACTCTTCAACCCACACACAGGACAACTGGTGGAAGCACCATGAGCTCCTGGTGTTTGAGCCAAAGTGCCCATCACTGGTACCTGCTATGGCATGAGGGTGGAGGGGCAGCTCCCAGAGGTCCAAATGAGAAGCAAGAATTAAACTACAGACATTACTATGGAATAAAAAAGGGGAAATAGACTCCAAGGCCATTAATTTAAAGATGTGAGGTTTTAAAAATATGCTATGATCAAGGACTAAAAAAGGAAGATATGAAGAAAGTGATTGAACCAATAGGGACTCAATAGAGAAGTGAACATTATGAAAAAGGACCAAATGGGAGTTCCAGAACTAAACAGTAAAATAAGGCAATTCAAAATTCATTAGATAGGTACATACTTGTTCAGGATGGCAGAAAAGTCAGTGACACCAAAGAGAGATCCATCGAATCTCTGTGAGAGTGAGACCAACCTGGGCTACATAGTGAGTTCCAGGTCAGTCTCAACTATATAGTGAGACCCTGTCTCAAAAAACCAAAAAAAAAAAAAAAAAAAAAAAAAAAACACAACAAAAATCTCAAAACTAAAAAAAAAAA